ACTTTTTTCGGCTCGACTCATTAAGCCCATTGACAACTGATTTGCCATTGTTTTACCTTGACTCTTTGGAAACGTCCTTTTATAATTTCTTTAGTTACCTTTTTCCCTTGAACAGTGCTCACATTCAAAATAGTGCGAAGCGATTTCGCAGTTTCAGATTGAATGCAGCAGCGGCCGCTGGATGCCTCACCTTCTTAAAGGTAAGTGCACATACACTGAGCCTTTCTTTGCTGCTTCAGACCAGGATTACCACAGTCGAGAAGCCCTACTTTGGATCAGGCGGTATACGCCGAAACTAAGAAGCATGTCCCACTTCTCGACGCATTGAGAAGGGGCTGAATTCGGAGGATTTGTCTGATGCCTTAACAACTCGCCTGTTTTCTTTACCACGGAGTCTTGTTCGAGGCTTTTGCACCGTTTTTGCTTTTTTCACTAGTGTATTACTTTCTGCTTGATTTGAGGACCATGAGCTTCAAGAGCTGTGGAAAGCGATCGCTGACACGCCTTCTGTCTGCCAATCTCAACGCTGTCCTCCTCAGAGCGATTCGAGCCGACGTCTGCACCACGACATGCACGCGCATTTCAGGCGAATCTTCCTTTTTTGCAGCTGACACAGAAGAGATCAATCTAAGTGGAAGTCGCTTCATCGGGAGGTCTTCGTGTTTTCTTGTGATCCTTTGCCCCTGTCTCCGCTCCTAAGCTCACTGTGATTACAGAAGAAGCTAACCATCAATACTGAGAAGAGAAGACCCAAACAGTCAAAATGCTTTCAACTCTTTGTCTCATCGATCGCCGTCTTCTATTATTTTTTTGAGGTTTTCACGAGTAACCCATTTATACAGTCGTGGAGGCACTCATCGAACTCGTATCTTGCGTCATCATTCGCATCCTCCAGTCATGGGTGCATAGGTTTATGGGAGTAGTGCAGTGCGAGTATTTGCTCACAGATTGAACCGCAATTGCCGTTTACTGGTTTCTTTCCGACTAGGACACCTGCTGCTCTTCTCTTCAATATGGATATTGCTACTTTCTTGTGTCTTACTCCATAGCAGGAAAACAAGACAGTTTAATTAGCTCTAGTGGTACGACTTCAGCTTATCAGCCTGGTTTCGCTAATTCCACGTATATTCATTCGGAACCAGCGAATTCTCAAAGACTCGCGGTCAGAGTCAGATACAGTACCCACCGTAAGTGTTCAAAAATTTACGAAAAAAACGCCGATCCGCGTTTTTTTCGTTTTTTCGTTATAGAGCTGTTCTTTTTGATTTTTTGTATGGATACCCATATATTATTAGAATCAGCTCGCCGAGCTCTATCCGAGGGTATGCTCATATTCTACGAAATTGGTTTTTTGCTGGCGCCATTTTGGCGCCACTACTTTTCCAACAAAGTCTGTATAAACTCGATTACTGGGGCTACTCAAAGCCCTGTTTACGAAAATGACATTCATTTCTCGCCGTGGCGCCATTAGGTGCCAATTTCGCGCCACTTGCGCCACTTTGGCGACACGACCTTTCTCAAAAAAATCTGTATAAACTTGCATAATGGGGTTTCTCGGTGCCCTGATCACGAATGTAACATTCATTCCAGCCATGGCGCCGTTCTGTGCCATTTGGTGCCAATTTGGCGCCACTACTTTTTTCACCAAAATCTTTATAAACTCGCAGCCTGGTTTGTGGAATGGTCACGTGATCGTCTTTTGCAGAGCATACATAAATCACGTGAGCTTGCGGCTATGGTGAGCGCAGAGCC